GCTTTCATATTATAGTAGATTTTTTTTGTAGCCCTTTCATTTTTTTTTAAGAATTTTTTGACTACTCAGGATTTGCTTGGTTAGAACGATTGAATCGATCGGTTTACTGATTAGGCCGGTTAAACCGCTTTCGGCCTCATGTCCAGTTAACCGTTCTAGTTCGATTTTGCAAACACTGGATTAAAGATAGGATTTTGCATACAATATGGAGTTGGTTCAGTGTCACTAAAGAAGGTTATGGGACATCAAAACTTGACATTGTGATCAATTTGGCAAGTTTGATCTGACTTTGTTTTATAAAGGTTAGACCAAGAAGTATATGGTCGCCACCTATAATAGGGTGCTTCGAATTAAATTTTGATGGATCTTCTCTAGGTAAGCCAGGTGTGGCAGGGCTGGGAGGAGTTTGCAAAGAGAGTGCGGGGTTGATTATCTTCTGTTATGCTGGCCTGTGTGGCATTGCTTATGCAAATCATGCCGAAATGATGGCTGCTCTTGTGCAAGGGGTCTTAATTTGGAAAGAAAGATGCTTTGGTGAGTTGTTGGTGATTGAAGAATATTCTCTAAATATTATTAACTGGTGTAATAAGATGTTGAGACCTCCTTGACGTCTTAGATCATTGTGGTTGCAAGTTATGGAGCCTATCATTGGGTTGGGTTTTGGTTAAGGGCGACCACTTAGTTCAAATGATTTTAGCCATGCTTTTTCTTTCTTTATCCTCTATGCCTTTACGGGACGGGCTTCGGGCATGTCCATCCACTCCGGCATGAATGAATGAATGATAAGTACACTGATACACCTACCTCTGCCCCTGCCCCTTTCCACGATCGAGGGGGCCATGTCGACTCACCCTTTCCATCCACGCCGAGGGGACCATGTTGACTCACCCTTCCGCCCAATGGACAGGGGGACATGCCGGTCTCCCCTTGCTCCAGCGACCCCTACCACGCCGCTTATATACAATGACTCTCCATTGTAGAGTCTATGGGCCGGCTGGCCACCCATATATCACATATATGGGAGGGAGAGCTTATACCTGACACGGAGAAAGAAGGGCTGAGACCTACTTAGTTAACGCCGAGTGACAACCGGGTTGGACTAAGAACAGATTGGGTGAGAAGGAAGCGATAGCTCGCTTGCCCTAATGAATAAGTGGGATAGGAAGCGATGGCTATGGTTGTCTATAGGAAGTAGTGTGTCGGCTAGCACTCTAACATCTTCGTGGTCAGATAGCTTTCATCATGTATATAGAGTACCGAATGAGGTGGCAAATGCTTTGGCGAAGAAGGAGCTGTTTTGGAGTCGTTAAGTGTCTCTTTTGCAATTATTTTAGTTTTGAGTTGTAATTCCCATTTAGTCAATAAAAGGTAAGTACCTTTGTAAAAAAAAAATTTCTATAGAGGTCCACCCACAAGCAAGAGGCAGACCACCCAAGTCTCATTTTTACACGTGAATAAGCACTGAATGGGATGAGACAATGCCTATTCATGACAACAAGGCAAGCTTTCATCAAAACCTGTAGTTGCTTAGGTTTAAATGTTGGTACCAAAATGGATTCGTTGGCTAAGGATGGTGTTCAAGCTGATCTTTCATTTATTTCTTTGATGACATTGTAACTTCGTTATTTTACATTTGTGATTAAATTTCGTAATCCCGTCAAAAAAAAAAGAAAAAGACAAAAAGAAAAATGCATCCAGTATCAACCCATCCAATTACTCATGCATGTGCCAAACCGGAACATGATTTATATCTTATACATGTAGCATATTGTTAAGTATCTTAGAATATGAGTTGTCGATCGTTAAATAAGGACGGTTGATGTGAACTCTACGTGCAAGCATGTACTAGTGACAATGAACATTCTATGCAACAGAATGAAAAACATGCCACATATATCATGGTTTACAAATCCTTTGGCTTAATGAAATTTGATAAGAAAGAAAAAGAATAAAACAAGTATGGGATTTTGGTGCCTAAGCTCACACACCTATTCAAAGGGAAAATTACGCATGTATCCGTTATAGTTTCCGTTATTACTAAAATATCAGATAGATTCCGTTATTATTGGAATGTCTGTTTTTTTTACTTTATAACGAAATTTTTTTTAAAAAAAACTTTTTTACCCTTTTTCGGTTTTTGAACAACCGAAAATAGGCTTAAGCTTGGAATTTACATTTTTATGTTCGGTTGTTGAACAACCGAAAATGTCTTGTTTTCGGTTGTTGAACAACCAAAAATAGGATTACGTATTCCAGAAGCTTGCTGGAATATGCAGTCCTATTTTAGGTTGTTCAACATCCGAAAATGTCTTGTTTTCGATTGTTCAACATTCGAAAATGTCTTGTTTTCGGTTGTTCAACAACCAACAACCGAAAATAAGACTGCGTATTCCAGCAAACTTCTGGAATACGTAGTCCTATTTTCAGTTGTTTAACGTCCGAAAATGTCGTATTTTCAGTTGTTCAACATCCGAAAATGTCCTATTTTGGTTGTTGAACAACCGAAAATAAAAAGAAGCTTGGAATTTGCATTCTTATTTTCGATTGTTCAACAACCGAAAATGTTATATTTTTGGTTGTTGAATAACCGAAAATGTCATATTTTCGGTTGTTCAACGACTGACGGAAAATAAGAATGCGTATTCCAGAAGCTTAAATGAGCCCCGCTATGTTTAGTTGTTCAAGAACCAAAATTAGCTTATTTTCAGTTTTGAACAACCGAAAATCCCGACATTTTGGTTGTTCAAAAACCGAAAAAGGGTAAAAAAGTCTTTTTTAAAATTTTTTTGTTATGAAGTAAAAAAAACGGACATTCCAATAATAATGGAAACTATTTGGTATTTTGATAATAACAAAAACTATAACGGATACATATGTAATTTTCAATTCATCTTAGACATGAAATGGCGCAATAAATTTTATAGGTCTATAATCATGAATATCAAAAAAAATAAAATTACACCTTAGGCTTTATTAGTTTATTAAACTTTATGTTTAGACCATTCATTTTAGTTCAGTGTACATTATTAGATCTACAATATTTTTTGAGCTGAAATTCATAGATCTAGAGCAAAAATACATGGAAAGCGACTTGAGATGTGTTTCAAGTAGTATCTTAAAACTTCGTGATTTTTGATCTGGATCTCCGATTCTGATGGAAATTGTTCTTGATCTATCTGGTTATGAGATGGTATGGGTCCCGACCTAATTTATCTTAAAACCGCCCCTAATATATCCATCCCCCCCCCCCCCCTTTTTTTAAGCTTATTCGATTGTTTAAAATCACCTTAAATCCCCACTGTATGAACTTCTATTTTTATTTATTTATCTATAATAGTTTTTATTTATTTATCATCGATTCAAATAGATTTAGACCTCAATCTAGATCGTCGATCTAGCAATTCGAGGCAGGGTAAACGATTTGCCCTACCAATTCTGGATTTAAAACACTTGTTTTAACTTTCAACTATAAAAAAATGTAATAATAAAGTAGTAGTACTAATAATAATAATAACAACAACAACCACAACAACAACAATAATAGTAAATAAATAAATAAATAATTGCACAATAATATAAAAAATATATTAATTATATAGTAACATAATGTCATTTTATTAGTATTAGTATAATATCATAATAAAGTAATAAATATTATAATAAATAAATTTATTAAATTATTATTTTAATAAATTAAAAATTTCTAGTAATAAATTATGATAATATAAAAATTATATAATGGTATATTTATTAGTAGTAATATTATACTACAAAATAAATATATTTTTTAAATAAATTAATAAATGTCATAATAAATAATATATAATAAATATTATTATCATTATAATAAAAAATTATATAAATATTGTAATAAATTATTATTGTAATGAAAATATAATAATATTATGTCACTGTAATGGTTTAATATAATAATATATTATAATTTAATAATACTAAAATCAATTATGTTGATGAGTGTCTCATAATAAATATAAAAAATAATGATAATAACGATAATGATGATAATAATAATAACAATAATAATAATATGAATATTATTATTATGAAATAATGTCGTTATTGTGAGGAGTGAGAAGGAAAAAAGAAAAGAACTAAGTTTATCAATGAACTACATACTTGAGGAGTGAAAAGGAAAAAAGAAAAGAGCTAAGTTTCTCAATGTACTACAAACTTTAGTGGAAAATGTCAAAGATAAAAGAAATATTAGAAAGGGACAAAGAATTAAAAGAAAAAATTAAAATTTTCAAAGATCTAAATCAATAGATATGTACTAATTTATTATAGTGAGTATCTCATAATAAATGTAAAAAATATAATAAATGTAAAAAATGATGATGATGATGATGATGATGATGATGATGATGATGATGATGATGATGATGATGATGATGATAATAATGATAATAATAATAATAATAATAATAATATAAATATGAGTATGAATATTATAAAGGTGCTGTTTATATAGAGTTGAGGCTCTAAACAATCAAAGTAAAATGCACCTTCAAATAGTGTCGAGAAATGAAGTTTCAATACTGGAATTCTTTGTGATAGCTTTAAAATATATTTTCATATCTAATTATAAAATTTAGAGCTTACAAAATAGTGTAGAACGGGCAGATCTATGAAAACTTGAAAATCTTGAAAACTGACAATCAAAAAATGCATTACAAGATGCATTATTTCTAAAACTTGACATCCAAGGATATTCGGGCATCAAAACAACGTCTTTTAACAAAATTTTTGAAGTGCACCTTAATTTGATCGTTTAGAGCCTCACACTTATATAAAATTTTCTATATTATAAATATAAAACATTATCATTATTGTAAGAATGAGAAGGAAAAAGAAAAGGGATGCTTGCCTTAATGCAAAAGCTATAGCTTTTTCAAAAACTTGGATTTGCTCATTGGTACATCTTTTTATCCGAATAAATGCCGGATACGGGAGGTTCTGCGGTGGATATCATGGACATGCTCTCAAGAAGTACAGTCAAATGAAGATAGGCCATCAAAATCTAGATGAAGGATTTGCATATCTAGGGTCCCAAACCGTCCACAAGTAACGTAAAATGCTTTTGAAAATTGTAGATCCAAATCTATCAATACAAGATTTCAATTCTCTTTAAAATGGAGGCAACGTGGAGTCATTTTCAGGAGAGACAAAAAAATGCCATATTTTATATCTGAGGCCCCCGGTGAGGGTTTAAGGTTTAAAAGTGAGGAGAATTTAATTAATTAGTGGGAAGGGAAGTGCGGTGTTACGAGGAAGATGAATGCGAATGAAGGGGCGCTCTTTTACCTCGCCACATGGATTGATGCCCTAGAAAGAGATGGTGGGTGATGACGAAGAAGAGCGAGAGAGAGGATGAATTTATAGCATATCTTCTGTGTGGCCCACTGGTAATCCACGCTGATCTTCCTTTTCTCTCTCTAGATTCAGGCACCCAAATGCGATTCCTCTTTCTTTCCCCTTCTAGAAATACCGTTGTTGGTCTGTCGAGGCAGGTGGGTTACCTTCCAGAGAGGGAAAGTGAACAGCTATGGCAGAACAAATGCCTTCCTCTTCTTCTGCTCTGAGATTTGATGCTCACTTGAGGCCGTGGCCATGGCTGAGAAGCTTCTGTGAGATATTGCTCTGTTCTGTGGGATTCTGTAAGCATGGGAGGCGCAGAGTGCCTCGCCAACACTTACTAAGAGGGGGCGTCGAGGACGGGGATTTGCAGTATGGGAATGCGAGGTGTCTCTCGTCGTATTACAGTGTCTTTGTTGCTCGCCTCGCTATCATGGTACTGCTTTCCCTCACTCTAGAGCTTAAGAATCCCACTTCATGACTGGCTAGTTTAAATTGGTTTTTCTTTCTCTTTTTCTTAATATCTCTCATCGTTATCGTCTCTCTTACTCTCTGTGCTGCTTGTCGCAAATCTGATGTGATTTCATGAATAGAAGTGGAAGAGGGGATTGAAGAATGGGGTGTAAGATTACCAAACTAGCTTCCATAATATAGAGTTTTATGTATGTTGCTTTTTGTTTTATATGAAATTCACATTGCTATGAAGCTAGTCTACTGGCTTGATATACACTTGCGTCTAGGTCTTGTTGTGCTGGACATGAATGAGAGATTGCTCTTGATGGATGCGGTTTAGGTTCCACTCACCACTTATACTTGTTAATCATGTTTATAGATAGAACTGGTTAGCTTCCAACTAGAGCCAGAGGGTTCTTGAGAGATTGTCTGAGATTTTTACCAAAATTTATGCCGATGCATGTTTCACTTGTATGGTTTGGCCCTCTGATGCTGGAATTCAAAGTTTGTTCTCTTGCAATTAACAAAATAGAATATAAGGATGGCTTTCTAGATAAACATCATGGAGGTATATGAATTATAGTTTTTCATTGCACGCAATGACTTGGATAATGCACATTTACATTTTCATTCTGTGCAAGCAAGGAAGGAGTTAAGTAACTGCAGAAATACAAAAATATGGGGTAACTTTGCAGGGACTATTGATTGATATTATGAAATGCCATGAGAGTGAAAATTAATGACATATGGGTGCCCGATGACTACATGTATTTGCACTGACAAACCTTTGGGGGCATCCAATGGCTACAGACATTCTTGTAATGTGAATATACTAAAATATGCTGCCAAGTAGATTTAGCAGTACAAAATTGTACAGTAAATGTGTGGACTTAGATTTCTCCTCAACAAGGACGGAATGTCATGTAGGTGGAGAGATACCCAATGGAACTCTGCTTGTAGTTGAGCTACCTCGATTTGTCCTCCCTAGCCTGACAATCAGCGTGGTGGTTGGCTTCTCTACGGACCTGGCATAGTGTGATTGTGATGTTCCTGCAAAGCATATAAATGTTATTGAAAATGTGTGCAAGTATCCATGGAGGTTGGCTGCCCCTAGCGGCCCATTGATGACATTCCTTGTGTCCCCTTCCAATATAAGGGATCCTTTCCCAAGCAACGAAAGGAAGTGAGCGCTTAAGACCCTCTAGCATTGCTATGGACTTCGTAGTAATGGAGTTGGAGTGTCATATGAACCTTGAGATTTCCCCTCCGGGGCTGGACAAGGTACCCCCAAACCAGGAGGGACTTGGGTCGCCTAGAGAGCAACGATCTACATTTAGCTTGAGAGAGCCAATGGGTGGAGGCATCCAAAGAGGTTTAGAACTCTTGGAGCTATTCGTGCAGTATTTGACCAATTCATCTTGAAGACAGAGCTAAGGCTTTTAAGGTGAGGAAGACACTCAACCCACAAGATGGTTTCAGCTATTATTTGTTTGAAAATGACTACGGGCAGCCGTCAGAGGCCATGAAAAGTCCTAGCATTTCTTTCCTTCCATAGCCTCCAAATTAGAACAAAAACTGAAGTGGACCACAAGAGACTGCCAATCTTGGGGAAAGGTGGAGACATCCAAGAAGTGAGCAGCTATCTGACTGACTGCAGGGTGATCCAGTTAAGACCAAATAGTTGAAGAAGGGAGGACCAGAGGATGCTGGCAACTATATAGTGTAGGTAGAGGTGGTTGATATTTCCTTCTGCTTGGAGGCATATGGTACATTGGGTTGGGAGATGCATCCCCGTCCTTTGAAGTTGGTTGGCAATGAGCACCCTGCCATGAGTTATGGTCCCTGAGAAAGCTTGGACGTTATGCGGCAACAGTGTATACCATATTTTTTTTAGAGAAGAGGGAGATGCGAGAAGGGGCCTGCGGGAGTAAAAGGAACCCATTGAGAAAGTACCATTTGGGGTTGGAGACTGCACCAGTTGATCCCTTCCTTTTGAGGCCACAAATAATTCTATGAGAAAAAGGAGCAACTTTTAGAGTGCTACACACTATCTGAGAGGGCATGCCTAAAGGTGGGACCCGAAAGTAAAGTACAGTCTCGGAATCAACATAATTTGCCATGGAAGCCTCATCGGTGCTTGCTATAGCTAGGCATTGGGGCCACCTGCTTCCTATAGGTGGAATCTCCCACTCATCAATTTTTCCAAAACTTAATTCTATCCCCCTTTCGTGCTCTATACCTAATCAAGCCTCTGAAGGCCTAGCTGCACTTAGCGATGTAGGTCCATGCTTTGGAGCTTCTGTGAGACTGACATATAGGAAGCCAGTCATCTTCCTCAAAACCATATTTTGACGCAAGACCTCTCTCCATAACTGGGACTCCTTAGCTGCAAACCTCCACCACCACTTGCTTAGCAGGGCCAAGTTATTTTGTTTTAGCCTTCTTATCCCTAGTCTCGTGCTAACTTTGGAGCAATAGACCTTGTCCTAGGCAAGGAGATGGAACTTATGGTGGTCCTCTGCCCTGAACCAAAGAAAATTTTGCATGAGGCTTTTAAGGTAGAAAACTACAAAAGCCGGCATCTAGAACAACTTAATGCTGAAGATCGGGATGTTTGCTAGGGGTGGCTTGGTAAGGTTGACCCTACTTGCAAGTGAGAGATAGCGACCTTTCAAATTTGCAATCCCCTGCTTAAACTTTTCCACAATGGGGTCCCACAAGCTTTTTCCCTAGATAGAGAGGTAGTCCTAGATATGTTTATGGTAGAGACAATTCCGTAGCTTAGGTCCTTAGCCAAGGCACTAACTTCCTCTTTTGTCTCATTCTAATCGCATCTTAGTCTTAGACATGTTGACCGTCATTCCTGTGGCTATTCCAAAACTCCTAGAAAACAACCACATGTTGTCAATTTGGGTGGGACAAGCCCTCGGAAACGATGACAGTGTCATCTGCAGAGAGTAGATGGGAGATAGTGGGACTGTCTCTAGTTATCTGGAAGCAGTCTAGAGATGGATTGGGAAAAAGGTTCTCCCATTATGGTGAATAGGAGAGGGGTAGGGGTTTGCTTGGCGGAGGCCCCTCGAGGTCATGAAGAAACCTTCCGAAGAACCATTGAAGAGAACCAAAAATTTGGTGTAGAAAATACAACCTCAAATCCTGCCCGCTCCATTTGCTACCAAAACCCATCTTGCACTGTAGAATCGATCATCCTATTTGATTGAATGCCTTTTGCCCAATCTAGTTTAAGAAAAAGCCCTCTTTTTCTTGAAAGGTGTTTGGAGTGGATGGCCTTGAGAGCCAACAAAGCCCCAACAACAATTTGCCTATCAGCGGCAAAAGCTGATTGAGGTTTGGAGATGACCTTGCCTAACTGAAGTTTTAGTCTAGAGGCCAAGACTTTGGTGAGGATTTTGTATGAACAACGAGTTCAAATGGCTGATAGAGCAGAATTCTCTCATCTATCCTTCGCCTTCGACCTTAGGAATAACTACAAGGAAGGTGGAGTTCGTCCCTTTATGGAGTTGGCCGTGATGGTAAATTTCATGAAAGAAGGCCAGAAGATACAGAGCTAAGATGTTCCATTACTGTTTAAAGATAACTATGGGGTAGCCACCTGGTCTGGGGGCTTTGTCTTGAGCAATTTCAGGTATAGCTAGTTTGATTTTGCTCTATGAGAATGGGCGCTCTAGAGAAGCAGTGTTAATCTGAGAGGAGGTTGAAAGAGATGTTAGCCATCCTGGGTTTGGGATCTTTGGGCTTAGAGAGGAGGTTTTGAAAATAATGGATGATGATTCTATTAATCTGTTGGGGAATGTTGAAAATCCAATTGCCCACTCGGATTTGGGTGATTGCTTTATTTCTTCTTCTAGAGTTTGCAGACTTATGGAAGGAAGATGTGTTTCTATCTCCATGTTTGAGCCAATTGACATGGGACCTTTGGCACCAATATATTTCTTCAAGTTTCAGAGCTGCATAGAGGTTGGTTTTGCTTTCCAGTCTTTGAGCAAGTTTGGCCTGGGTCAAAGGTCTGAATTCTTTTAAGGTGTCAAAATATTTGATTTTGGAATTGAGTGACAAAATAAGAGGGTTGCGATTATTTGGGCGAGAGCTTCCTCCAAGTTTGAGAGAAGTTTAGAAGTTGCAACTTCCTAGTGAGATGGAACCCAACCCAGCTAAAGACATTGTAGGAGCACCACCATTGGCAAAAGGTTTCTTGCGAAATCTATTTCATCCATCCGTTGGAGTTCCAATCTAAAAGCTTTGTTGAGTCTATGGAGGGGATGGGTGTATATGAGGATAGGCTTGTGGTTGGACATAGTTTTAGGTGGGGCACTCAAAAAAGACCCTGCAGATGTAGATTCCAAGTGTTCTAGAGTAGGAAGCGATCTAGTTTGCATCGGAAAGGATTCACCACAAGGTTAGGGAAGGTGAAAGAAGTTTCCACTAGCGGAATATTGAGGAGAGAGTTGATTATGATCAAGTCTGAGAAGTTTCTCATGCAAAATATGATTGTCCCCTTGCTGTTTCTCTCATGGATCCACTTGGTATCTTGAAGTCTCCCCTGAGAACCAGTGAACAGACGGGATGGGTGATGTCAATTGGAGTTCAGGCAAGGGATCCTGTCTAAGGATTGAAGCATTAGGACTGTAGATGGAGGAGGCCTTCCACTAAAACCCATGGGAGATTCTAGTAAGGGTAAGATTGATAGAAAAACTTCTAACAGAAGAAGAAAACGAAGTGTTAAGAGTAGAGTCCCAAAGAACTCAAATGTCCCTGAATGCTCGCTACGCTGCTTTGGCCACCCATTGATGGGACCTTACTCAAGATAGGCCTTACTTCTGATAGAATAGGCCTGAGAAGGGTGGCGTTCAATCCAATCTTTTATGCCATAGGCCTTACTTCCAATAGAATAGGCCTAGGAAGTTTGGTTTGTATGATTGCAGCTACTTCGGGCTGATAGGTCTGAACTAAGGCCCGCACTGC